CCTTGCCCGAAAGAAACAAGAAAGTAGGTCAAGTGAGGGGAAGGGCTGATTGAAGAATCACGAGTCCCCACGTGTGCCTTTTGTGAGATTCGACGCCTCCAATCTAGGCCAAAGCCCATATGGCTTTACCATCTTTGAATTTAGTTGACAAGGCATGACGCTATATCTAACCTTGGCTGCCAAAGGACTTTTACAACACAATTTGCACATGCCTAGGTTGGCATTCCTCATTGGATTCTTTAGATAGCTAGTAATTTTTTTACTAATAATAACTTCACTTACTCCAAAGGCATGCATGGTATAGATAATATTTCCCATCTATGAGACCATTTGGAAGATGTATAGTCTTACTACATAATCTTACCATTAAAGCACAAATGTTTAATGAACCCATGAACACTGAATATGGCGATATGGGAAATTTGGATACATGAAAAATAGAAGGGAAGTCTTACGCACTTCTCTTATGAAACTTTATTTTTTGGCATACAATTAATCTACGTGAGGCTTGACCAAGAATGTATGCAACAAGCAACCTTGCTAATTGTCCTATAAAACCTAGTCAACACCAGTGACATTTTTTTGGTAAATAGGACAAATGCTATTTAGTAACGATGTGCTAGTTTTGAAGAAGGGTCCAAGATCCACTCCTATGACTCAATAGTTAGCCATCACCACTTATCACTAACCGAATGTGACTTCACAAGATAGATTACTCAAAATAATAATAAAAATACTGGAAGTAATAACCATAAACAAAGAAAAAAAGGATCAAAAAGCAAACAAAGCAAAAACCAAAACCGTACCGATCTTGTAGGTTTGCTTTGAAGCGCCCAAACGCGCAACCAACATAGAAGACTAGAAGTACAATCACAAAAAAATAACAACGTGTACACTATAAACTACAAGCAACAAAAGTAGACCATTTTCTGTGGTTTGCTTGAACCTATCTCCCAGTTTACTTTGAAGTGCCCAAGTACTTAACAAAAGCCAAAGTTAGGTGTGTCTTATGAGGGCACAAACCGTGTAGAAGAAGGATAAGAGGTAGGATGCTCCTCACAGCTCCCCTGATGCTTTAAAAGATCATATGCTCCATTGGCCATCATACTTCACATCTCGGAATATCTCACAGTTACAACAAATAGCATTGAAGCTTCCGTGTCCCTTTTTTGTATCATGTTTTCCTCCCGGCATGTTCTTAAAGTATTGAAAAGTTGGAGTGCAGGTGATCAATGCCGAGAATTCTGTGTTTTATACCCCTCCTCTCTCCCCCTTTCACGTGAGTTTCGTAAATGCCTACTAGGAGCTCCCATAGATTCGAGCTATGCCAAAGCCAAGGCTCCCCCTCCTGACATGTATTAGTTTACCAGGTATGTCGCAATGTCAACTAGCTATAATAACTCTAGCGGTTAGTGGATTGTCACAATTTTATGTACATGTGTGCAAGTGATATTCCTCGTTACATTCTTTAGACAACTAGCATCATTGCTAATAATAGCTTCATTTACTCCGGGGATCCACGATAAGAAATATTATAAATTAATCTAGAAACCCTTGCAAGACGAATGACCTTATTACATATCTTACTACAACAAATATTAAGGTGCTATAAGTTAAGAAATTTCTCAAGTTAAACATTATTCTTCGTCATACACTTCATGATGATCAACAATGGTTGTGCAACACTTGTCCCATTCATGACCTTAATATTTTTTTGCATCTCCATGCTCCTCGTTGCTGCTAGCAGCCGAGATCGAAATAGTGTGATCCTAACCATTTGGATCCTCCATATTCCTCTATGCTATATGTAAACTAGATTCCCTTTTACTTTTCTTCGAGACTTTGTATTTTAGTTGCGTGAAAGTAATCGAAGGGAAAGTATAGCCAGTTCGAATGAAACGACAAAACTGGATTAGGTTAGGAAGGCCGGGACTTATCGGACCACATATCACGAGTTCCACACAATGCATGTTGGATGATTCCACAGATCCAAGCTAGGCCAAAGTCCAAGGTGTTCCCCTCTTGCACGCACTAGTTGGCAAGGCGTGACGCCATGTCAATACGTGATAACCCTAGCAGCTAGCACACTTTAGCAACTTGCTTTAGACATGCCTAGTTTGATATTCGCCATCATATTCCGTAGATATATCATTTACTACGTAAAGACCTTTTTGCAGCATGAAATCGTCTTGTTACTCAACCTTACGATTACAAGGCAAATGTTTAATTAGCCATGAGCATGAAAACAATGGTACATAAACCTTTTAAATGCTTGCCAACAACCCTTTCTTGACGAGTCAGATGAATGATTTTATCAACCTTGACGTTTACACCCAGTAGCAAATACGCTAACTATCTCCATAGGAGAGTTTCGAAGCCAACAAGCAGTTCACTTTACAAAGGACCCATGTGTGCAAGGGTAAGACGAACTACATTCACACGCCTACTTAATTTGTACTAAGCTAATGTTCCTTCCCCGAGACAACAAACCTTTGATCTCATTCACCTGGTTCGCGTGTTGCGATATATCAATGCCATGTGCTTTCACTATATCAATCGGCTCGCTGCCATCATCAAAGGACGGTTGGACCAGTGAAGGAACATAAGCATCACTGGTCACCGCTAAATACAGTCTCACGAATAGCATCCCCAATGAAGAATTTCGCAAGGTACAAGACAAAGATGCAAAGCATAAACAACACATAACTAAAAGAAGAAGAAGAAAAGATGACAGCCCAAAGCAAAGCGAAAAACACAAGCGCACCCTTTTTTGTAAGCGATGAAGAACCAAACCGCCGCACCTATCTTGCGGTTCTTGGCTTTGAAGTGCCCAATCGCCCAACCAAAGCCGCGAGGATGGATGGATGGATGCGTCTCGCGGCGGCACAGCCCCTGCTGTCCGTCCAAGACACGCAACCGCTGGCGCGATCCAGGCCGTCCGCGCCTGGGGGCCACGGATCCGGCCGTCCGACGCGCGCCCGCCCCCTTTATATACCCCGGGACCCCTTCCCCTCTGCCCTGCCTACGCCGTCTCTCTGTCCTGTCCTTTCTCCTCCATCTCCAACCTCCCCCTCCCCTCTCCCCAAATTTGGATCAAACGAACTCGCTAAACTTAATCTCATCCTTAAACGCGCGGCGAACGGAATCGGATTTTGGGAGGGACGGGAGGCGTTTGGATCCCATTTTGGGCGGGGGCTAATCGCGGTAAGCAGCGAGTGATTTGGGTCGGGGTTAGGGTTTCGGATCTGGTCATAATCCGGCGATGAACGGCGAGATGATGATGCGGCCTCCCATGCCTGCGCCGTACCAGGTGTGGGCGGCGGCGCTGGCGCAGCAGCAGCAGCAGCAGCAGCTCCCGCCGGTGGCCGTGGCGGAGGCGCCGCCGGCGGGGTTCAAGCCGGCGAGGCCCGCGTGGAAGCGGGCGGCGCGGCAGCAGCCCGGGTGGAAGCAGCGCAAGGCCGCGGCCCAGGCGCAGGGGAGGTGGGGCGGGTCGGCGGCGCCGCGCAACACGACGTCGTACCTGATCCGGGCCAAGCGGGCCGGGGGCGTGGCGTCGCTGGTGTCGCCGTGCCCCGTGACGCCCGCCGTGCTGCCGACGCCGCGGCTGTCGCCGGCGCGGGAGGTGCTGGTGGAGATGGCCAAGGAGGCGTGGGGCGTCGACGGGTACGGCTCCATGAAGGGCCTCATCCGCCTCCGCCCCCAGGCCGCCGGCCCCGACGCCGGCGACGGCGACGGCGCTGACTCGGGCTCCGGCGAGAGCGACGTGGAGGAGCACGTGGAGGTGGAGCGCCGCCTCGACCACGACCTCAGCCGCTTCGAGATGGTGCAGCTCCCCGCCGCGCCCGCCGGCGAGGACGACGAGGACGAGGACGCCCGCGCGGCCCGGCTGGAGGAGGAGAACCTGACCCTCCGCGCGCGGCTCTTCCTGGTGGAGCGCGACATGGCCGACCTCCGCCGCCGCCTCGTCGCCGTCGAGTCCCTCTGCCGCGACCGCCACCGCGACGGCTGCGTCGTCGACGCCGCCCTGCCGCCCCCCTCCAACAGCGACGAGGCGGACGCCACCGAGGACGCCATGGTACTCTGACGTGGCCGCCGCCGCCCCTGGCCGGCCGCCCGCACCGTGCCCTGTACATAGTTCACCGTCCCTTCCTCCTCCTCCCCTCTGTGCAGGTGTCAACAGACAGACAGATGTGAATGAAGAGTAGCCAGCAGCATCAGCATCAGCATCAGAAGCAGCAGTTCAATTAGCATCCCAGAACCAGTCATCACTCTTCCTCCCTTCCCTCCTTGAATCCCCATAGCAGTTCGATCTGTAGTTGTGTCATCAGGTAGCCAGGTCCATTCCATGTCCATGTCCTCGTAGCAGCATTAGGAGTCAACCAAACCAATCCAAGCAAGCAATGTGTTCATGTAGATGTATTAGCGGTTAATCGGCGTCAATGGCGGGCACCGGCGAAGAAGACGCGGGGCGTTCCTCTAGATCCAGTGCATACCAAAGTCGGCATACAACTCCAGTCATTAGTCAGTACTAGCAGTAGCATTTGTTGTGATTCTGAACATATTGTTGCTCCATTATTGCATTCTGCATTCTGTACCATTCTGTGCGCGTCCATGCTCACCAGATGCTTGGCCATTGGCAGGGAGGGGACAGGCAGCGGCGGCGAGACCCATGGATGATGGATCCAGCAGCCGTGGGAGTTTTATACTACTATACTACTATATTTTTTTGTTTTATTTTATTTAGTTTTTGCTGTGCTTGCGTGCGTGTGTGCGTGCGGTTTTGGCGAGACGTGGCGTGACCAGTGGGACTCGCTCCTGTGGACGCGGGGGTGGGGTGGGGTGGGGTGGTGGACGGTGCGTTGAGTGCGGCGCGGCTTGGTAGGTCGGTCAGGTCAGGTCCGGGCAACCTGATTGCCATTCTGAACTGGGTGGTGGTGATGGTGGTGGTGGGGCGGGTCCGAGGAAGAGGATGACCGACCGGGAGGCGAGTGGTTGGGCTGGGCGCTGTGGCGTTGGCAATGGCGATGTGACGACAGAATCTTGGCATCTTGTGTGGAGAAGATGCTGCCGGGCCATCCAGGAGTTTTTCCTCCTCGGCTGGAGTTTTCATCAGGAAGTAGTAGTACAAACTTTTTATTATCCGGGGAGCCAATCCGTCGGGTAGTAGCGGAGGACGCTCTGACTGGTGGTACGTTCATTTGAGTGGATTTGATTGAGCTCGCCGTGAGTGACGTAGCGAGTGGACACAACAGTGGGCTGCAAAGTGCAAAGCGTTGCGCCCACTCCCTTTTGGGATAGAGATCTCTTCATTTCCCAACACCACGTCGTCATACACTCATACTGATCCGGTTTCTAAACCAAGGCTCACGCTTTGCATGCACAGAGAAAAGCCCAAAGTGCAGCCACAAATAAATTCAGCGCGGTCAACCAACGAAAGAAAATAGGTTTCTGTCTTAAAACAATGGGCCTCCCCTGTACACCTCAATCAATCAATTAATTAAAGAACATAAGGCCTTGTACAATGGGAGGTGCTTAGGGGAGGTGCTTAGAGAAATAAATCAGGTTTTTCTTAAGCACCGGTGCTTATTTCTACAGGAGAGACGCTTGAGGTGCTTAGGGGAGGTGCTTAGAGAAATAAATCAGGTTTTTTTTAAGCACCGGTGCTTATTTCTACAGGAGAGACGCGGTTTTTCTTAAGCACCGGTGCTTATTTCTACAGGGTCTCTCCTGTA